GCTGAGAAGACTTTGTTACAGGTGAGTTTTCACTTTGAAGCGATGTCGCATGAAACATGTGGAATATCAATGACGACTGTTTTTAGCTAAAAGACCTGAAAAGTCACTTTATGAATTCTGCTCCCAGCACAGTGATGTCACAGACACACAGCTCAGGTAAGATCTGCAGGATGACCTGATCAATAATAAGAACTAAAATCAGTCCATGCACAGATTGCAGGATCCCTGCGGTTCTGTTTGTTACGTTTGATCTCAAAGACAAAAATCCAGTGAAATGATTTTTTGAATTTCGTGTCAAAAAGCTCGTCTGTTTTAAATTTGTTCAGATTTTAACAAAGTAACGCTTTTAATCCAGCCGGGCAGTGCATTGTTGTTCAAGAGCGGAGAGTCTAAAGTCCAGGGACGATGAATTTAATTGCAGCCATAATGTTAGGAGCAATAAAAAATTCATTAATAAAAGTATAATATTTAACTGTAAGAATATTAACTGTGTAAATGTAGATCTGTGTGTATTAGTGCAGCTTCTATTCATGTTAATAACCAGGAGCCGTCAAAATAACATTTGGTTTTCAGAAAGTTCCAGTCAGTCATGTCCCATCTGGTGTGTTTTTTTAAAAATCACAGTTATGGATGCTTTCCTTCTTTTCATCAGTTTGTGGACATCAGAGTAATAAATACGATACGTGGAATACAGCTGAGTAACAGTAATGTAATACTCACTGTGACCTGTGTGACCTCCTGTTAGTCTGTAGGAAAAAAGCAAAAAAGCCAACTTGAATGAGGTCGTGCGCTTATTCCATCATAACCTGATGTATTTTTCTTTTTATGTATTTAAGTATTTTTATTTTTGTGACCGTAGCTGTTATTTCTTCTTCTGCATCAAAGTCTGAAACTTTTGTATTAATCTTTAAAAAGGTTCATAAGTCTTAGTCTCAGATTATCTAGGAACATAAAACTGATAGCAGAGAATAATCAGAAAGGGCTTTTTTTAAATCATTAACTCACATTCATATTAATAAAGCTGACCTTTGACCTGCAGTTAGATATAAAGTAAATGTATCACGCCCTGTGAGTCGATGAGTAACAGCATGCACAAAGAAGAAAATGATAACGTTTGAAACAAGTGAACATTGACCACAGAGTAGATTAACATCCACTGTGTACAGATAAACACAGACTTCTGTTACCTTGTTTAATTTGAACAGAGGCAAACTCATCAAGTAAAGCCTCTAAGCTTGGTGGGAGCAAATATTAGAGTAACCTGACCTCTCAGAGTTCTCGTATATGCAAATCTGGAGGTTTTATTTATGACCTCAGCAGTGATGGTCAGGGGTACTCAACATTGCTGTTGGATGTGCATGCAGATGCAGTTAAGCATGTATTTGATGACACAGCGACCAGGTGTTTTATCAGGACAGGTGAACACAAATGTGTCTGGACACACTGCAAAACCACTCAGAGCTCAGAAGCTTACAAAGGGCCCAATATGTGACTGTGGAGACAGCAGAGCAATTTTCAAACTTTATTTCCAAGTTTAATCAAAGGAATAAACTTGGTGAGGGATTCAGGGCTTGATGTTTGAACATAACTCGTAGTGTGGAGATCTAAAGCTGTAACTGTGGACAGAGGAGTGGGTGATTATTGTGGGTATGAAACTTCTCCAGGCTTGAATGAATTTGAAAGAGGAATATGATCATGTTGCAGGCAGAGTTGGCGACACTTGAGGAGCAGCTGAAGATCCGGGTGAGCTGAAGAGAGCGATGCTGGGCTGACCTGAGTTAAAAGAGATCCAGTGCAAAGCGGTGGCAAGAGGGCAGGCAGGTGCCATACTGAAATCCTTCCCAGGAGTCAGAGTGTGAAACAGGTGCTGTGACCAGAGAGCTGTAGCACAAGAGAAGCAAGGTGGGTACATAGACTAGAAGTAATACACACAAACATCCTGAGACTCAGACTGAAAACCCCACAAAGGAGGGGGGATGGGGTTGGGGTGGGTTTCTGCTCTATGGCAGGGATGTCAAACTCCAGTCCTCGAGGGCCGGTGTCCTGAAACTTTTAAATGTGTCTGCTGCAACACACCTGAAGAACATTAGTAGGTCATTAGCAAGACTCTATAGAACTTACATGTGTTGGGTATATGATGACATGTGCAAATCCTTTAAATGAGTTTTTCGAGACACTGACAAATGAAGTATTTATTGCTCAAAAACAGTCATATCTCTGCCCTGCAGATAGTCTGTAATATTAGATAAGTCATGATAGCAACATGGCCAAATGACACTGAGAATAACCCACTAAGTAAATGCTGAAATAAGGGTGGATGATCTTCACTAGACACTCAAACGGAAAAGTTTTGGATTTCAGTTTGAACCCCACCAACTTTATTCTTGACTCAAATAAGTTGAGTTCATTTGGAAGAACTGAATATGATTCATTAAGAGTACTTTCATTCACCTTAAAGTGAACAACAGTCTGAAAGGGACTTTCTGCCATGTTTTACAGGCAGTCGTGCTTCTGAAGACTAGTTTTTGTTCGCTTTGTTGTGAATATTTACATAAAACCATCCAAGTGTCTGTATCCAGCACCGTCTGTGCAAAACTCCTTCGATGTCAGAGGTTCAAACATGAAAACATTTTCTCAGTCATTGTTGTTTTTTCTTTTTAACTCCACAGTGAGTTCTGCAGCTGAATGACAGCATGGCAGCAGCACCTGGTGAGTCTTACTTTGTCACACTTACATGCAGTACCTGTGAGTTACCTCCCTCTACAAGCACTCTCTGACAGTAATTTCATTGTTTCTTGGTTTCTCCTGTTTGGAGAAATGTGAAAAAAATGAAGAAAAGTGATTATTAGAGGATAAACGATGTGACTACAGGTGAATATTTTACAGCAGGTCTCATCTGAGTGTCTTTGCTGAACCAGCTGCTGTGTTGCATGTAACATGCTTTAACAATGTGTTTAACCAATAACATTTGTCAGAATGTATTTTCTGAAAATTAAAAGTCATGTTTAATAATCTTTCCCAGAATTAATGTGATCTGTTCATGCAGACAGTCGTTGACATTAAAAGTGCTTTGTTCCATCTGATGTAGTCATTGCAGGATAACACGTATCAGTGCACAATGCATGTTTTTCTTTATCTTTGCAGGACCACAAGACACTTTTCCCAGACGTCGCAGGAAGAGCTTTAATTTTGTGCCCCCCCACAGTGAGTTTTTAAAGAAAAGATTATGTTTAATGCAAACTTTAAATGGGCAATTTAAGGTGGAAGACATTAGACAGGAGCAGGTGAAGACAAACTATAGCAGGAAGTGTGAAGCTTGTTTGGAATAATGAAAACCTCTTAGTGCACGGATTCTGCTTTCTCTCTTTACATTTAGAGCTCATATAATGTATAGAAAAGTGAAGAAAACTATTTTATGTAAACTTTTGGGGGTCATTTCTGGGAGAGGTTACAGCAAATCAAATGTGTCCTTAACTTCATGTTAACAGATCAAACATTCAGGACACCAGTGTTCATGTAGCTCTATGCCACAGACATGAAGTTGGTGCAATTTATTGAAACTGTGATGTAGCCTGTGGTAATGATGATCAAAAGAGATTATAGAAATAAAATTGTGCCAAACAAGAAAAAAAATTGGTCTTCAGATTCTGTGGATGTAAAACTGAGCTTTTAACAGAGGTTAATTTTATTTTTCAACTCTCAAACTTTATGTAGTATTCTCACATGTGAATATATATTTATGGCTCAGTAATGATCCATAAATACGAGAAAAAAATAACACATATTTAAACAAAATGACAATTTTTGCACATTTTTCAATAATTACAACTCAGTGGTTACAAATGGAAAATTATTAAAATTAGATTAATTGAAACCTATGATATAATGCTGTTTCTGCTTGTATTAACTTTGAAAGATTCTTTGTTCAGTGTTTGTGTTTGCTGTCGTTTCAGTGTCTGAGCTCAGAGCTGTCCTGCTGGGGAACAGCTGGTCTGAGAGGAGCTCAGTGGGAAACTTTATACTGGGAGAGAAGTTCAACCCTGAGGAAGATCTGGACCGATGTGTGAGAGTCAGTGGACACAGTCAAGGGAAAGAAATATTTCTCATCAACACTCCAGATCTGCTTCATCCAAACATCTCAGAGGACAAATAAAGGAACATGTGAACAACTGTGTGAGGCTCTCTGATCCTGGACCTCATGTGTTCCTGCTGGTTCTACAGCCTGAAGACTTCACTGAGCATCAAAAAACGAGACTCTGCAGAGTCCTGAACTTCTTCAGTGATCATTCCTTTGATCATTCACTGGTTCTGATATCACCACCCAGATTGAGGCGTCTGGGTTTACGGCATAGTGTCATGTATCATACACATTTACAGGAAATGATCAGACTGTGTAATAACAGGTCACTGCAGCTTGAAAACCTCAACATTCGGGAGTTACTAGAAAACATGAAACGCATTGTAGAAATGAACAATGGAACACATGTGACCTGTCGGCACACCAGCGCTGAACAAAGAAAAAAAGCTCCTATTACTTTGAATTATCCTCAGCCTGTTGGTAAGTAAAAACCCCCAAACTATATCTGTAGATATTTTAACATAAAGACACTTTCTAAAGTGCTCAGAAGGAACGATCCACCAAGAACATGAAGCAGCATTTACTGAAGATGGAAAAAGTGAAGAAAGACCAAAAGGCTTTTAGGATCAGTCAGACTGTCTGAGAGTAATTTCCTGTTTGTATCTTTGCTCCTTTACAGGATGTAGACTCTGCATTTTGCTGTTTGGAGGAAACTCAGCAAAGAAGACAGAACTCTGTAACTTTATTGTGAAGAAAAATTATGATTTTTCAGGATTTTCTCCAGACAGACAAGTTTTCCATGGAGAGTGGAGAGGAAAACCTTTAACAGTAGTGAAAACTCCTGACTTCTTAAGTCCGTCTCTGAAAGCAGTGAGAGAAGAGATGAAGAGCTGTGTGAGTCTCTGTCCTCCTGGACCAAATGTTCTGCTGCTGATGGTGAAACCTTCTGATTTCACTACGCACAGCAGAAAAACTCTCAGTTTGACCCTGAGTGTGTTTAATGGAGATGCCTTTAAACACTCAATGGTCATCATCACAGATGAGGAGGAGATGCGTTTTTCTGTTAATTCTCTCCTTAGAGATTGTGAAGGTAGACACTACAACATGTTTGAAAATGATCACAGACAGTTGATGGAGAAGATTGAGAACATCGTGCATGAGAACAAAGGAAAATTCCTCACAGTCACCGAAGAGACCATCAGACCAAAGTCTGAAGACATAAAAGAACCACCTGAAAAGATCAGAAGAATAGAATCTGAACTCATCAAACCATCTTTAAACCTGGTTCTGTGTGGGAGGAGAGGAGCAGGGAAGACTTCAGCAGCCAAGGCCATTTTAGGTCAGACTGAGCTTCATTCAGCCTCCAACTCATCAGAGTGTGTTAAACATCAGGGAGAGGTGTGTGGACGTTGGGTTTCCCTGGTGGAGCTGCCTGCCTTGTATGGAAAACCTCAGGAGGCAGTGATGGAGGAATCACTCAGGTGTATCTCCCTCTGTGATCCTGAGGGTGTCCATGCCTTCATCCTGGTCCTACCTGTGGATCCCGTCACTGATGAAGATAAGGGAGAGTTAGAGACCATCCAGGATGCATTCAGCTCTCGGGTCAATGACTTCACCATGATTCTGTTCACCGTGGACTCAAATCCTACAGCTCCAGCTATTCGTAACTTCGTAAGCAAAGACCCAAATATCCAGGAGGTCTGTCAACGTTATGGACAAAGGCCTGTTATTGTTAACATCAAGGATAAAGAGCAGATCCACACGTTGTTGGACACTGTGGAGCAGATGAGATGCACAAACAAACCATGCTGCTACACAGCTGTAACATTTGCCCGAGCCCAGATTGATCTGATAACTAAAAATATGGTCACTCGTAAGTAATTGAATGTTTTTTTTAAATCATTAATCATGTTCTACATTATATTCTAACATCTACTTTATAAACTGTTCACATTTTAAGAAAATCATGTGTTTACAGGTGATGAAGAGATGCACAACACGGAGCCTCTCAGGATTGTGCTGATAGGAAAGACCGGCAATGGAAAGAGCTCATCAGGAAACACCATCCTAGGAGGGAGAGAGTTTAAAGTCAATGCAAGTCAAAAATCAGTCACCAAACAGTGTCAGAAAGAACAGGGTGAGGTGGACGGTCGTCCTGTTGTTGTGGTCGACACTCCTGGTCTCTTTGACTCAACTCTGTCACATGAAGAAGTTTATGAGGAGTTGATGAAATGTGTCAGTCTTCTGGCCCCAGGACCGCATGTCTTCCTGTTGGTGTTAAAAATTGGTCGTCTCACACCAGAGGAAAAGAAAACATTAAAACTTATCAAGGAAGGATTTGGGAAGAATTCAGAAAAGTTCACCATCATTCTTTTCACTGGAGGAGATTCACTACAACGTGACGAAATATCCACTGAAGATTATATTGAAATGATGTGTGATGATTCGTTTAAGAAGCTGATTGCTGACTGTGGAGGAAGATACCATGTGTTCAATAATGTAGACAAAGAGAACCGCCAACAAGTCAGTGAGCTGATAACAAAGATTGACACCATGGTGAAGGACAATGGAGGAAACTGCTTCACCAATGAGATGCTGGAAGAGGCTGAAGCAGCGATAAAGAAGGAAATGAAGAGAATCCTGAAGGAGAAGGAAGAAGAGATGAAGAGAGAGAGAGAGGAGCTAGAAAGAAAACATGAGGAAGAAAAGGAAGCCATCAAAACAAGATTGGAAGAAGAAAAAGAAAAAGTACAGCAGGAAAGAGACCAGAAACTCAAGGAGATGGAGGAATATCTAAATAAGGAGCATGAAGAGAGAAAGAAAGAACAGGAAGTGAGAGAAAAAGAGAACAGGAAACGGGAAGAGGAGGAAGAAAAACGTAGGCAGGATTTTAAAATGCAGCTTGAAATGTTGGACAAACAAATTCAGTCAGAAAAAGAGGAAAAGAAAAATGTGGATCAAAAGCTGGAAGAGAGCAGAGACGAGATGAAGAGAAAACAAGAAGCCTGGGAGAAAGAACGAAGAGAAGAAAGAGAGAAACGAAGACAAGAAGATGAACAGAGACGACAGGAGGAGGAAAAACGACTGAAAGAAGAGAAGGAAAAAATACAGCAGGAAAAAGAAAAACATGAAAAGAAAAGAAAAGAAGAAGACAAAATGAGGAGAGAAGAGGAGAAGAAAGAACGAAATCAGCTGGAGGAAAACTATAAAATACGTGTGGAAAATCTGAAGAAGAAGTATGAAGATGAGGCCAGAAAGAAAGCTGAAGAGTTCAATGATTTCAAAGAGAAACACAACAAAGAGTTTGCAGCTCAGAAGGAGGAGCACGAGAAGAAGATTAAAGACAAAGATGAGAAGTATGACCTGTTAAAGGCTCTGGCTGAGCACACTGAAAAACAAAAGAGAGAAAAACATCTTGGAGACATCAGTGATGTGGTGAAGTGTCTGTCTAAGAAGAGAGGAAATCTGACAAAAATCAAAGACTTGCTGACAAAACATGAGGATCAAATGAAGATTGCAAACAATCAGGATGAAAAAGAAAACCTGCAGAAAATTCATGACACAGAAATAAGTAAACTAATACAAAAACTTCTGAATGAAGCTGAGACAAAATCTCCCTGCAGCATTTCATGAGATTTTTTTTCTACTTTTTGTGACAGAGCTCAGCTGGATAAAATATTTTCTGTACATTAAAAGTTGAGATAAAGAGATATATTTTATGGTCAGTTTGTAAACATTTTACAATTACAGATGGAATTCTTGATTTATCTTTTATATTTTCAGGATTGTGTTTCATTTTGTAACTTATATGAGTCAATGATGTCAATGATGCATGCAGGATGAATTGCTGCCATGTAACTTAAGGTTTTAGAAAATATTTGAAACACTGTTTAATTTTTTGGTATATTTTATTTAGATTATTGCAGGCACCAGCGTATTAAACAATAGAAGAAGCTTATTAGATATTTGCATGCTTGCTGTAATTAGAAATATTTATTATTAAATAAATATAAGTATTATGCTGTCCTCGCCCTGAGTCTCTTGGTTTCACCAGCTAGACAGCGAGATAACGATGCTCCAATAACCAGACTTATTTTCCTTTTTGCGCTGATTTATTGAAGAATGGCCTCTGACCATTGCTCTCTCTTTGACCATCGTAAACTGAAAGTACAAAATACTGTATTAGCTAACTAACATTGTAAACTAGCTTGTTACACTCTTACTGCAAGCTAACAAGATAAAACTTTCAAATGTACAAATTATCGTACCATTTTTACACAAAACAAAAGATAATAATTATTTTATCGACACTCATACTTACAGACATATCTTGTCCAAGGCAACAACATTTTAAGGTCCGTATCAGCTTAGAACAATAACATTACGGTATCACTTTCCGCCATCTTTTATTTCTTCTTCACGTTCTCATTTTTTCCTTTCCCAAAGTAACCGAACCCATATTACAAAGCAGCCACCAGAGGGAGCTCTAGGGCAGCTTACAACTATAATATCCGATTTAAGTTATAAAAGGCAGAACACTCCCCGCCTGGTACAATATAATTGTGCCACTACAACAAACTTTTCTAATAAACATTTTGAACAGTTTAGGGCTATTTCAAACACTTATTTATCACTTGATAAAAGCAAAACCATATCAGCGATGGGTCTCAAAAACACTTTTTCATTTCCATCTTTCACAGTCTTTACTTCTGCTTTTCGAACCTTATTGTCCTTGCTCTCAAATGTTCTTACAACTTTTCCCATGGACCAGTCATTTCTGTGTGCGAGAGCATCTTTCAATAACACAACATCACCAATTTTTATGTTTGTTTTATCATCAGTCCATTTTCTCCTTTGCTGTAGTGTTGAAAGATATTCACTTTTCCACTGTTTCCAAAAAGAGTCTGCCAAACACTGTACTTGCTTCCATTGCTTTGAGTAGAGGTCTGGCGGTCCAAAGCTTCCTGTTGGTGCAGATAATGCATTGACCTTTTGTGTAAGGAGCATTGCTGGAGTGAGAAGGTTTGGTTTGTCTGGATCTGTTGAGACTGGTACAAGTGGTCTTGCATTCATTATTGCCATTACTTCTGCCATGAATGTACTTAAAACTTCATGCGTTAGTTGGACATGTACGGCTTTCAACAGAATACCATCTAGGATGCATCTTGCTACTCCAATAAGTCTCTCCCACGATCCACATGTGCGATGAGTGTGGGGGATTAAACAGCCATGTGCATCCTTTCTCTTGCAGGTATGCGTTTAGTTCTGTGTCCTTGTGATCAATTTGCAACTCATTGCATGCTCCAACAAAATTTGTACCTCTATCAGATCTGAGTATTTGAGCAGGTCCACGGATGCAGAAAAATCTCCTCAGCGCATTGATGAAGCTGGATGTTGACATTGTTTCAATGAGCTCAATGTGCACAGCTCTCGTGGACATGCAGGTGAAAAGCACAGCCCAGCGTTTACTGTCTGCACTCCCTCCTCTGGTGCGACGTGTGGTGACCGTCCAGGGTCCAAAGACATCCAGTCCTACACTAGTGAACGGTGGCATTGGTGTCAGCCTGTCCACGGGTAAATCTGCCATCTTTTGGGTCTGAAGTCGTCCTCGAAACTTTCGACAAAGAACACACTTGTAAATAACAGAAGAGACGAGCCGTTTACTGCCAATAATCCAAAATCCAGCACCTCTGAGCGCTCCTTCTGTTAGGTGACACCCCTGATGCGCTACCTTCTCATGATAGTATCTAATAAGAAGGATGGCTATATGATGAGCATTTGGGATAATGAGTGGATGTTTCTCATCTTTTGTTAGGTTAGCAGGTGCCAATCGACCTCCTAGTCTGAGGAGCCCATCTTCATCAATAACTGGATTTAACCTTTGAAGACAGCTTTGTTTTGGAAGTGGCAGATTTTCTTTTATGCATCTGTACTCTTCTTTGAACATTTCACTTTGTACTGTGTGAATGATGAACTTTGCTGCTTTAGACGCTTCATCTGCAGTGTTAGTTTCACTGAAACACTTCCAGCCTTTACCTTCTGTGTTTGTTTTCTTGAATGATGCTGCCACACGCTTTAGTGATGCAATAGTGCGACACAATCTCATCCAATGAGAGAATCTTTCAAAACGGCATGGCTCTAGCTGTGTTACTGAGGCTTTGGTAACAAAACTTGTTATATCAGGTCTGATCTCTGCATCTGTGTCAGGATCGATCAGTGTGAAACTATCCCAGTGAGACTTCTCTATGTCGTGTTGTGTCAAAAAGGAAGGACCACTAAACCAGTTTGTAGAAGCCAATGCAGAAGCTGCAATCGGTCTAGTGCAGGCATGGGCAAACTACGGCCCGGGGGCCACATGCGGCCCGTTAAACGTTTTGATCCGGCCCGCCAAACTTGAAAAAAATTTAATAAATTAACCTTGTTAATGTTTTATTTCCCCTGCAATTCTGATGTTTCCTCACTAGATGGCGCACTCTAGATATATTGGCTTTCTTGAGGTGAAGCGTAGGCCTATTACTCCACGTTTGCACTTTACCCTGTGACCCACCGACCCTCTATGAAGATGAGCGTACCCAAGAAAAGGAAAGTGGACAGAGAATGTCGAGTGTTCAAAAAGGAGTGGACAACTAAATATTTTTTCACTGAACACCGATCATCTGCTGTTTGCCTGATATGCCAAGAAACTGTGGCGGTTTTTAAACAGTATAATATTAGCCGTCACTTTGCCACAAAGCACGCTAATTATGCTAGCAAGCTCTCAACAAAAGAACGGGAAGCTGCTGCTGAGAAGTTGGCAGCTAATTTGAAGGCTCAGCAAAGTCAAACTGCCATTCAAGAGTCAAGTACCGAGGCCAGTTTTATGCTTTCATTCAAAATAGCAAAGGCCAGCAAACCACTGTCTGAGGGCGAGTTTTTAAAAGAATGTATGGTAGAGACAGCAGATACAGTGGGGCAAAAAAGTATTTAGTCAGCAACCGATTGTGCAAGTTCCCCCACTTAAAATGATGACAGAGGTCAGTAATTTGCACCAGAGGTACACTTCAACTGTGAGAGACAGAATGTGAAAAAAAAATCCATGAATTCACATGGTAGGATTTGTAAAGAATTTATTCGTAAATTAGGGTGGAAAATAAGTATTTGGTCACCTCAAACATGGAAAATCTCTGGCTCTCACAGACCTGTAACGTCTTCTGTAAGAAGCTTTTCTGTCCCCCACTCGTTACCTGTATGAATGGCACCTGTTTGAACTCATCATCTGTATAAAAGACACCTGTCCACAGCCTCAAACAGTCAGACTCCAAACTCCACCATGGCCAAGACCAAAGAGCTTTCGAAGGACACCAGGAAAAGTATTGTAGACCTGCACCAGACTGGGAAGAGTGAATCTACAATAGGCAAGCAGCTTGGTGTGAAAAAATCAACTGTGGGAGCAATCATCAGAAAATGGAAGACATACAAGACCACTGATAATCTCCCTCGATCTGGGGCTCCACGCAAGATCTCATCCCGTGGGGTCAAACTGATCATGAGAACGGTGAGCAAAGATCCCAGAACCACACGGGGGACCTGGTGAATGACCTGCAGAGAGCTGGGACCAAAGTAACAAAGGTCACCATCAGTAACACACTACAACGGCAGGGAATCAAATCCCGCAGTGCCAGACGTGTTCCGCTGCTGAAGCCAGTGCATGTCCAGGCCCGTCTGAAGTTTGCCAGAGAGCACATGGATGATACAGCAGAGGATTGGGAGAATGTCATGTGGTCAGATGAAACCAAAGTAGAACTTTTTGGTATAAACTCAACTCGTCGTGTTTGGAGGAAGAAGAATACTGAGTTGCATCCCAAGAACACCATACCTACTGTGAAGCATGGGGTGGAAACATCATGCTATGGGGCTGTTTTTCTGCCAAGGGGACAGGACGACTGATCCGTGTTAAGGACAGAATGAATGGGGCCATGTATCGTGAGATTTTGAGCCAAAACCTCCTTCCATCAGTGAGAACTTTGAAGATGAAACGAGGCTGGGTCTTCCAACATGACAATGATCCAGAACACACCGCCCGGGCAACAAAGGAGTGGCTCCGTAAGAAGCATTTGAAAGTCCTGGAGTGGCCTAGCCAGTCTCCAGACCTCAACCCCATAGAAAATCTGTGGCGGGAGTTGAAAGTCCGTGTTGCTCGGCGACAGCCCCAAAACATCACTGCTCTCGAGAAGATCTGCATGGAGGAATGGGCCAAAATACCAGCTACTGTGTGTGCAAACCTGGTAAAGACCTATAGTAAACGTTTGACCTCTGTTATTGCCAACAAAGGTTATGTTACAAAGTATTGAGTTGTATTTTTGTTATTGACCAAATACTTATTTTCCACCCTGATTTACGAATAAATTCTTAACAAATCCTACCATGTGGATTCATGGATTTTTTTTTCACATTCTGTCTCTCACAGTTGAAGTGTACCTCTGGTGCAAATTACTGACCTCTGTCATCATTTTAGGTGGGGGAACTTGCACAATCGGTGGCTGACTAAATACTTTTTTGCCCCACTGTGTGTATATATATACACACACACACACACACACACACACACACACACACACACACACACACACACACACACACACACACACACACACACACACACGCACACTTCTATATACATATGCAGGACACCTTAAACTACTTTTTAATTAAGCAGCAAGGCAGAACAAAGTCGGGCCTGTATCAGGACACAGGGACTAAACCCCAATTCAACCAGACCCAGAACTGATCCGGAATTAAAACAGGACTACAACAGTAACCAAGACAGAACCAGAATCAGAACTAGATGATAGCAGCACTAAAAATCATCATAGACCTGCACTGCACTTGTTAATTCTACCAAAGTACAATATTTAGATTGAGAAAGGTTTATATAATTATTTATCCTTGTTGTGCAAACAAGCCTGCATAACTTAATAAATATAGAATTTGAAAAGTAACAAATGGTATCTAAAAGAAACACTAGGTACGAGATACATGTTCTGATGAGTTTTGGCAAACAACCATTTGACTAACATGTGTGTCTCACCTGCTCTTGTTCATCTCTGTTCTGTCCTCATTCTCTCTCTCCCTCTCTGCTCCTCTCTCTCCCTCTTTGTGCTGACAATCAAGCCAAACACCAACATCATCAAATCTACAGTTGAAACCAGATATTTACAAACTCTTCAGATAAAAACACAAACACTTTTTAATTGTAAAATCAAATCAGACTAAATGTTTATTTTTTTAGATTGATAAATATATTATTTATCAATAACATATTGTTAACTTTAAGAGTAAAGAGAGAAACTATCTGTATTTCTAAAGCTGAGCCACACTTATGGAGCTCCACGATTCTTTTCCTGGTGTTTTGGTTGACATCTCTTGATGTTCCCATGTCACAGAAACAGGCTCTGTGTTTTGCCTTATATGCATCCACAGGTGTGCCACCAGTTTACTCACATGGACTCTACTAACCAATCAGAAGCTTCTTCAGCCCAGAATGGAATCGTCTGCAGTTTCTTATTAATTAACAATAAACTTAGTGTATATGTACTCCTAAATTTGATGAAAGTGATTAAAATAGACAGCTCCCTCTTTTATTCTGACATTTAACTAATTCAAAAGATATTCAACATTTATTATCTAAAACAAAAGTTTACTCTAAATTGATGTTAACAGTAAAAAAAAGTTTTATGTTTCTCCATAAAGTGTATGTAAATATCTGGTTTCAACTGTGAATATACGCTGTGTATTGAAATTCCTCTTGTTTGCATAGATATACTGAACAACATCCAAAGCATAATATATAAAATAACATCTACCTGAGTTTTTCTTTGAAAGAAGCCCCTTATGTCCATTGTTGTGTTCATCAGTACACAATTGAAACCGATTTAGAGAGTTTGTTTAGCCGTGGAGGAAACAACTGAAAATATGAAATGTAAGCTAAGACTCCTAAAAAATCAGCATTGAAGCCAAAAATCATGTTTACTGTCCTGTGGTCTCAGCCTCAGATACTTATCAAATCACACAAAGCTCTTGTAGAAACAAACAAATAACAAATATGTTCTCCTTCATTTCTGTCAAACAAAGTTGTATGACACGTTTCCAGCGGTTAGTATCATGGTTGCTAGGCAACCTGGGAAGCGCGACGGAGACTAGACCGTCCCATACAGACAAACTTGCCGTTTATTTTGCAAATCGAGCTCAACACTGCCCCTAGCGTCCTGGAGCACTTCCGTTGTGTTTTGGATTTTGCAAGTGTTTTGGAGTTTGCAAGTGTTTTGGATTTTGTACGTGTTTTGGATTTGCAAGTGTTTGGAGTTTGCAAGTGTTTTGGAGTTTGCAAGTGTTTTTGAGTTTGCAAGTGTTTTTTAGTTCGCAAGTGTTTTGGAGTTTGCAAGTGTTTTGAGTTGCAAGTGTTTTTAGTTCGCAAGTGTTTGGAGTTTGCAAGTGTTTTTGAGTTTGCAAGTGTTTTTAGTTCGCAAGTGTTTGGAGTTTGCAAGTGTTTTTGAGTTTGCAAGTGTTTTTAGTTCGCAAGTGTTTGGAGTTTGCAAGTGTTTTGGATTTGCAAGTGTTTGGA